TTATTACTTCTATAGTATAAAGAGTTTAGCTCTATATTATAATATCTAAATATATTCCTCTATAATAAGGATCTTTATCTATTTATAAATTAGTAATACTATATCTTTATTATCTTCTATATTAATAACTTTTAAATTTATTTTTATTATAACTATAATAAAGAAGGCTAAAAACTACTTTAAAGCTTAAAATAGAAGTATAAGCTTAAAAAATAAGGCTCTACTATATAGTTTTTAAATATAAAGATTATTTAAAATAGAATAATTAAAACTATTTACTTAGTTTATAATATATATATTAAAAAGGTAGCTTAATACTTTAATCTTATAGATAGACTCTTTTTAATAATATCTCTTCTAAATAGTAATTTAAAGAAGAATAATAAAGAGGCTATAAAAAGCTAGATTAAAGAGTTTTAAGAGAAGATTAATTCTATTCTATATATTATAGTAATAGTATACCTTAATATAGCTTTTATAGCTTTATAACTCTTTTACTTCTTTATGAATCCCTCTATAGAGTATTTTATAGCTATAAATTAAATAATTAAATATTTATATTTAATATACTTCCTCTTATTTATATTTAGAGGTATAGAGGATAAATAAAAACTTCTAATTACTAAAAATACTTTATTTATAGATAATAAAAAGATAAAAAGATTATTATAAAGATATATTATATTACTATTTAGAGGTATAATTATATAGAAAGTAGTATATTAAAATATAGTTATAATATTAATAACTGAAGCTAAGCTTTTTAACTTAAAATATATAGTAAAAGAGGGTATAATACTTTAAAGACTATTTTAAGAGATATACTTAAATATTAGAGAGGTCTAAAAGATCTTTTATAATAATTAATAAACTATTTAATTTATTATTAAGTTAAGGGAGAGAATTATAATTTAGCTAAGATATATAAATATTTAAAATATATAGCTATATTAAGAGTATCTCTATAGGTTATTTAAAATTATATATCTATTAGTAAGTAAGATATTAATAAATAGATTAATTAAAAACCTCTTTAAAGTAAAATTTAAATATTTTAAAGTAATTTTTAACTTTATAGATATAAAATATAAAATTATAAAGTAAAATAAATAATTAAGTAATATAAATATTTAATTAGAGTAAAGCTTTATAAAATAAGTTAAGTTTTTCTTAGTTAAAATAGCTTTAACTAATTATTTTAGCTCTATATTAAAATCCTAAAGCTAAAAATAAACTCTATTAAGCTAAAATTATACTTTAAATTAAAACCTTTAATTATATATCTAACTAAATAAAGCTTGATTAAGATCTTAAAGCTCCTATAATATATAAATTATATTATAAAGAAAAATAATATTTTACTTCTACTCCTTTGTAAATAGGTCTATTAAGATATATAGAAGAGAACTTAATATATACTATATAGTAATAATAATAAAAGAGATAAATATATAAAAATAGCCTTTATAGTTAATATAATACTAATTAGAAATACTTTTAAAGTACTTTCTAAGTAAATAGCTAGCTACTCTACTATAAATATAAAGCTTATAAAGCTTATCTTACTCCTTAAGATCTAAAGTAGAGATTTTACTAGAGAATATACTTATAGCTAAAGCGCTATTAATATTTAGAGTCTTTAAATTATTATTACTATTAATAGTATTTTTATTTAATTTATTATTAAAACCTCTAAACTTAAAGCTATTAGAGAAGTTATTATTACTTTTAACTATTAGAGTAAGGGGTTTAAAGCTCTTAACCTTTAGAGTACTTTAGTAATACTTCTAAAGTATTAAGAGTAAATAACTTAATTTATATTTAGCTAAATAGTCTATTAAATAGTTAAAATAATAAATTAATAAATTAAAATAAAAGAAATATATTAAATAGTAGCTATAATAGAATTAAGCCTTTTTTAACTTTATTTAAAGCTTTCTTTTTAGCTATAATAAATTTAAATAGTATTATAGTTAAAATATTAATTTAAATACTTAAAATTAAGAGTAATAATAATATATAATAATAAAGTATAATAGCTTTTAAGCTACTTTTAATAATAGCTTCCCCTACTTTAATTAAGTCTTTCTTAATAAGAGAAATATAATAGAGAGGGGAGACTAATATATTAGAGGTAGCTTCTCTCTTCTTTTAAGTATATTATATTTTCTTTTTTTTAATATAATATATATAGGCTTTTAGAGTATAAAGTATTTAAATAGAAGTTAATTAATAATTAAAAAGAAAGAGAATAAGTTATTTTAATATTAGTTTAATACCTTTAAAAGGTAAGTTAATATATATTTATAATAATATTTTTAAAGAGAAAAAAAGAGAAATAAAAACTAAACTATTAAAATAAAATTAAGAGAGGTAAAAAGTAATATACTTAATATTAAGGTAGTAAGTAATAATTACTCCTATTTTAAATTAAAGAGTAATAAAATAACTATTAAACCTATAATTTAACTACTTTAAATAATAATTACTTAATAACTATAATTATAATTATAATAAAAATATTTTTCTTTAGCTAATTTAAATTTTATATATTTAATAAATATTTTTATATCTAAAACTAAAAATATTATATATTAATACTTTTATATATTATAACTAATACTATAGTATTTAAATAGTAGTATTTAGTTATAATAAGTAATTAGGGGGGTATATTATATATTAAGTATATATTTCTAAATAGGTACTATTAAAGCTAGATTAGAGTAGTAAGCTTTATTATATTAATTTTAAATTAGCGCTATTAGCTACTTTTTAGCTAAAAAAGAACTATTTATCTATTAGAAGCTAGTTTGAAGATATTACTATTTATATATATTTTAGAGGTATATAAACCCTAATTAGAAGTAGAAAGGGAGTTAACTAGAAATATCCTAATAAGAGATTTAATATATTATAATATATATTATCTTATATAAATACTATATTTAGATTAAAAATAGCTAGTAATTTATCTTATAGTATCTCTATATATACCTAGGCTATTATACTTTATCTAAGTAAGTTTAAATTACTATAGAGGGGTTAAAGGGGGGTCTTTATATAGTATATAATACTACTCTAAAATATTTAGAATAATTACTAACTTTAGTATTAAGCTTATATATATTTCTTTTTAATAGCTTATAAGCTTATTTAAAATATAGTTAGTTAAAGTTATAGTTAAGAGATTTAAAGATAAAGATATAGTAATCCTTACTAAATAGATAGAAAACCTACCCCTTTTAATAATTAGCTCCCTTATTAATAATACTCTTATCTATAAAGAGTATAATATATTAGAACTTAAGAGGCTTATCCTAATACTTAAGAATAAAGTAATATTAATAAGTAGCTACCTCCTTATCAAAGAAGGGGTATATAACTATATAGTAATAATTAATACTTTAGTTCTTAAGCCTATATTATAATATCTAAATAGAGATATAAAAATATATTAAATTATAAAGCTAATAGTTTATAATAAAAGGAGAGAGATTAATAATTATAAGGATATACTATTTATAGGTAGAGTTAAGTTTATAATAGGTACTATAACTTAATAAAGAGATATTATAATCCTAAATATAGTAATATACAATAATACTATAAATATACTACTTAGTAATACCCTCCTCCTCTATAACTTTTTTAGCTAATTAGCTAGTAGAATATCTTCTATAAATCTAAAAACGCTAATAAAGTATAAAATACTTAAATTTTTCTTTTAATTATAGCTTAAGTGGAGTTATAGGTATTTAAAGATAGTAATATAGGTAGGAAGTATTATATTAGTTGCGTAAATTTACGTTATAGTGGGGGAGTTAACTGTTTTTTTTATACCCCTACTGTATCTACCTACCTACTTGAGTGCCTTACGTGCCCAGGCAGGTAGGTACCTGACCTTAGGCACCTCGGATGCTGTCAACAGCTGTCCAGTGTTCTATTACCTGCGGTATGTGCCTAGTTAGCCGGTAACCTTGGCAAACCTGGAAGTACCTAAGGTACCTACCTACCTTAGGTAGGTAAGGTAAGGTAAGGTAAGGTAAGGTAGCCCAGTCGACTTTTGTTGACGCCTACTATATGCGGCAGTAGGCAGCTGTCAGTACCATGGAGGTAATGAGCAACAGGCAATATATAGGCAGCTCAATCATCCGGTTACACAAGAAGCTCGCGCTCGTCATTGGGTGGGCTTCGTCTTTGCTGCAATGATAATTCGCCCAAGGTGCTCGTGCTCGTGGTGGCATAATTTCTCCCCTCACCCGTGGCTCACGTCACTTTCTCTCAACTAACTCATCCAACCTGATCCAGCGGTGAACCTGGATTGTCGAGAATTCAACAAGACAAAACTAACAGAAAGCTTCATAACGAGCAGACGTAACAGTGATGGCAGGCGCCTGATGTGTATCTCCTCCTTTTGAGGTTTTGCGGGAGCAGAAGCCTCTCGAAAACGGAGGTCCATAGCCTCAGCCTCAGACTCTGGGTTGCGTTGCGTTGCGTTGCGGGCCTTACCCTGCCCATAATCCCGACTTACCTTGCCGTACGCCGGCCAGTCCACTTCCTCAATTACTACTACTCACGTAGGTACCTCAGACCTTACGTGGTTGTGAACACACACTATGGCACGGCAGTTCATTGGTTTCCTAGCGGTACTGGGACACATCTCATGCTGTCTCTGGAGAGCAGATGCTGAAGGCTGTCTTACTTCCAGTTGTCAGCTCCGATTATCTCCTCCCACTTGACAGGACATTCATTACTCTGTACGTCGCGGGCTCACAAATGTCAACAACGTGCAGACAGACAACAGACCGCCCGAAGCACCCGATCCAGTGCGTCTCCCAACAGAAGGACTCATCAGTATCACCAACATAACTCTTCCCAAAGCAGCCCTCGAGAAGAATACAACACCTGGCCACGACATCCTTCAGGGTGTGAGTCAGGACTCAATTGAGCTCCCTCCCTGTGCACGTCGCAACCACCCCTCGCCCTCACTTTCTGCGATGTCTGCCAACATGGCCGGAGAATATTCTCATGTTCCAGGGGGACTTCTCACTGAAGACGAGGTCGCCGGCTTGTCGCCAATTGACTTTGTGACTTTGGGCATGTTCATCATTGGTAAGTCAACCACAACACTTCATGGCGGCATCTCCTTTACACAGGGCAACTGATTCTTAGCTTCGTACGGATAGATGAGATACATTTCCTCCCGCCAACGCCGCCCGTGCAAGACATCCTTGGCGGTGCTGGGTCGTACGGTGCCCTCGGAGCCCGCCTCTTCTCCCCGCCTCCCGAATCCTCCTCCGTCGGCTGGATCGTTGACCAGGGTTCTGACTTCCCGCAGGCTCTTACTGACCTCATCAATACTTGGGAAACATCAGTCGTCTTCCGCGAGGATCCAGACCGCCTTACTACCCGTGGCTGGAATGGCTACGAAACGGCTGAGAAGCGCGCTTTCAAGTATACGACGCCCAAGAAGCGCCTTACCGCGGATGATCTGACCTCTCACCTGCTACTCGCGAAATCCTTCCACCTCATCTGCTCCCCGGCCCGGTGCAGGGACCTTGTGGCCGACATCACCTCAGCCCGCAAGCGCGTGTGCCCGCCTGACCTCTACATCAAACCGATCTTTATATGGGAGCCCGTTCCCGATCTGTGTACCCCTGATGAGCTCCTCAACTGCACAAACACACTCCCGCTCGTCGACATCTGCAGCCCGAATCACTCTGAGCTCGCCGGCTTCATGGGCGACGACGGTTTGGAGCCTGAAACAGGCGACATATCCAAATCCGCCGTCGAGAGATCTTGCGAGCAGCTGCTTGCCAGTATGCCGTTGCAATCTTTCACTCTTGTCGTGCGCGCGGGAGATAAGGGCTGCTACGTCGCCCGGAACGGCGGTCGCAAACGCCAGCCAGGACGCTGTGACGGGGTCGGTATTAAGCGTCGAAAGAAGGATTACACGAGAGGCGGCCTCCAGCCGGATACTGACATGGAGGCACTGTTTGCTGGTCTCCTACAAGACGACGAAGGTGCCGTTGTTAGAGAAGAGATTGAAATTGATGCTGGCACGGAGCAATGGATACCAGCCGTTCACCAGGACCGAGCCAAGGTAGTGGATCCGACTGGCGGCGGCAATACTTTCCTAGGCGGTCTTGCCGTCGCCCTCGCGAGGGGGAAGAGTGTCGAGGAGGCTGCCGTTTGGGGCAGTGTGGCTGCTTCTTTTGCGATCGAGCAAGTTGGCGTCCCCACGTTGGGCAAAGATGAGAATGGGAACGAGACGTGGAACGGCATCCGAGTAGAGCACCGGCTTGCCGAGTTCCAGGCTCAACTGCACTAAAGAAAAACATAGAGACACAAGAAAGAGAAAAGAAAGAGAGAGAGAGAGAGAGCTTGGTAGGCATAGAAATGTGTACGCGGCTAGAATGAACAGTCCTCATACACCAAGACAAAAGGCGGCATAATTTCCACTACTTCTATACGTCCCTGTAAAACCTGCGTAACTTTCACGTATTCCCAACGCCAACTTTCTCATTACCAACTCAACGTATCGTTTCATGTACCATTAAATCTTGTACACGAGTTCTCCATCGGTATACCTGTTTAAAGGTTAGCTGGTGTTCGAGGAATCCGTCTTGAGTCCTGGAACGGAAGGTGACATACATAATCTGGTTAGCAGCATCCATCTTCTTGAGAGCCTTCACTGCTTCATCTTTGCTGAACGCGCCGCCACTGTTCGGCCGAAGCTTGCCATTTACTCCTTCAACAATGGCGTCAACGCTGGCCGAATCGTCTTCGAACAAGGCTGTGTTAAGTAGTTGGCCGAGAGTGGCTCTAAACGTCGCCAGCCGAGGACCACTGATGGGTTCATCTGCAATGACAAGCCCGGCAGTCCCGGAAGCAAGCTCGTCATCCTCCTCATCCTCTTGCGCTTGCGATGGCAGCTGCGAGGATGGCACTGACGAAGCGAAAGATGTCTGCGTGTGCGAGGCTGCGCTTGAAGCTGCAGCGCGACCGGAACGACGAGAACTCCTTGGCGTGGCGTCATGAGTGTCTTCCGATCCTGCAGGCGCTGGTTGCTCCTCGTCGCTATCCTCGCCATCGTCGCTAACACCATTGGCGACACTGTGGTTGCTGGCAGTTGCTCGAGGGCGAGCGACCCCTCTGGTTGATCGCGTTGTCCGCGATGCAGGCGTCCGGTTTGTAGTGCTACGATAGTTTGAGTCATCATCGTCCTCATCGGAGCTTTCGTCGCTGGAAGAAGCAAAGTCGGTGGTCTGTGTTTTCCTCCGCTTCTTTCTCGACTCGTCCTCGACCACTTCCTTGAACATGGCAAATCGCAGAATGGCCTCCGCAGCGAGAGCATCACGCTCCTCAACGGTACGGGAAAGACGAGACTTAGCATGGGCGGTGGCTAAGCGAATTAGTGTTTCCAAAGTACGAGCAGTAAGGGGACTAGTCCGTCGCTGATTTCCTTCCATTTCGTCGTTACGCAGCCCGACAAAAGTATCGACAATTCGATCATTGGCGGCTTCCGTAAGTTGAGGCTGTATCTTCTTGGCGTACTGGATGTATTTCTTCATGAACGGAATGCTGAGCACCTCGGGCTTCTTATTCGAGCCGCGGCCGGATGTTACCGTCACACCAGCATGAAGCATCGCATCGTACTTTTCGAAAACGTCGGTAGGCCGTTGGACGTCGGCCTGGTTGCTGAGAGCGACTCCAAGGGCTTGGTTGCCGTTCTCGCGAACCGGGGCGCCTTCTTCGGTTCCCGCTTGGCGGTACCGATGCATCCGCAATACGTGCTCCGAAACCTGCCTGTCTCGGGTGTCTTCGATGTCGTCGGTGACAACAAAGAGCAGATCGAAACGTGACAAGAGAGAGTCAGGCAGAGCGATGTTCTTGTGCGGGTCCTTGTGCGTGTCGTACTGACCAAAAATGGGGTTGGCGGCAGCGACAACACTGCACCTGGCGTTGAGGGACGTATGGATCCCAGCCTTAGCAATGGTGACGGTCTGCTGCTCCATGACCTCGTGAATAGCGACGCGGTCAATATCAGACATCTTGTCGAATTCATCAATGCACACCACTCCACGGTCAGCCATTACCATGGCTCCTGCCTCCAGTCGTCTCTCTCCCGTCTCTTTATCTGAAGTCACAGCGGCTGTTAAGCCGACGCCCGAGGAGCCGCGTCCGGTGGTGGCAATGGCAAGTGGAGCGGTGTTCAAGACGAAGCGAAGAAGCTGAGACTTGGCGGTAGATGGATCTCCTACCATGAGAATGTTGATGTCACCTCTCAAGTGCGTGCCGTTGTCCAGGTTCTTCTCCACTCCGCCGAGGAGCATCAAAAGAATTGCCTTCTTGATATGGTCATGGCCGTAGATACTGGGTGCCAGGGATTGGGAGAGTAGCTGGAGGAGGTTCTTCTTCTTGGCAATCTTGTTGATGTTTCGGATGTCGGTATCGGTGATGGTGTGTGTAGCAACGCCACCTCCCGATTTGGAAGACAGGAGGACGATGTGGTTTGCGATGATGACCGTCTTGAACAAGGCACTGTTGTGGTTCGTGTTTCTGTTACCAAGGGTTCTGAAGATACCAACTAGCTGCACACGATCTCCAGGCTTCACGACGTCCACGAGATCGTCGTCGAGTATAACATCAACGCCTCTGGGCAGCTGACCGGCAGGGGCACGCTCAGGCATTTCCTGGATGGATATGGTCTGGTGGTCTCGGTAGGTGCTAAACCCGTACTCCGTTGTGAGGGGGTTTCCGTCGTCGTCTTCTTGGGGGTAGGCGCTCGATGTGGTGACGCCGTTGGTCATTGTCTGGTCCTGGTATTCTCGGAAATGGAAAACATCCTTGTTCTCGTTGTAATGAACACTCTTGACGATCTTTGGCCGAATAAGTGAGCATCGAGTGACGATGCCTTCTAGTGAGACCATGCTGTTGAGGTGTTGGGATGATAGGGTTCGGGGGTTGCAAGCGTTCAGACCAAAGCTGCCTGCCCAGGCACAGTAGTACGAGACATCGTTGAGCTTCTCAGCATCGCCAGAGTCTGGTAGCGTTTTGACAATCTGCTTGAGGGCATGGTTGAAAGCGAGAGTGTAGTCGAAAGGCTGCTCGAGCACGCCCGCGGCGAGGTCTGGATTGTGAGCGCGGAGTTGGTCAAGATTGACGACAAGTCTCCTTTTATTCCTCTGCAACATGGTGATTATCGCCGACCGGTAGCTGCGTCCCTGAGAGTCGTTTTCTGAATACAGGTCAGCATACGACGAAGAACATTTCGCGAGCGATGAGCAATGCAGGCACAAGGAGACGTACGGGGGTCAAGAAACTCTTGGGCCAGGCGCACACGATCCAAGGCGGCTGCATCTTGCAGCATGAACGAGTCCATTTTGGCTGACCGGGGACTGCGAGAACCGATATGTGACAGAACGAAAAGGTGAGGTTTTGGAGAAGGTAAATGAGGGTCTTGTAAGAAGCACCGGAGTTACGACGTGGGGCCGTCACCTCTCGCGATCGAAGACTGTAGTTGCAGTGGTGTTGAGGGGGAGGGGTGAAGGCGGACGTCGAAAGCAACACTAGGTACCTTAGGTAGGTAGGTCCACAACTCCTTTTTTTTTTCTAAGGCACCTCAGACGCGATTTGACGCGGGACGTGAGGGGACGCGTTAATAGAATTATTACGTAAGGTGATTTGGGTTGTGACTGGTAGGTATATGTAATTAGTACCTATTCTAGGCCTGTGCAATTACTTCGACCCCCGAACTTTCCCTCAAGCCCACGGGTAGTAAAGACTCCAAATCTTTATTGTTTGCTAAGCCTTATCCGCAATCATCCCTACGGCTACATCACCCGCTAATTGTCTGATTCATCACAACCAGGACTGCTCCTATCCCAGAGTTCGTGTTCCGTTCCATACCACAGCATGGGCCTTCGCTTGTGTCTGGATTCCTCACAACGTCTATGCAGCATGTCCGTACCTATACACGAGGTTCACCGGTCCCAACTCGCCGTGCCTTTTCGAAAAGACAGACGAGGCCTGCTTAAAAACATAACATCCGCATATTCAGCAATGAGATATGAGCCACCAATACCGCATCCGCTGAGTGTCCTGCTACCATTTTCGTCGCGACGACAATGTGCTTCGCCGAGTGGGAAATTCCACGCCCGTACAACCGCAGGTCCAGTCGGGCAGTCAAGTTGCGGTCTTCACGCTAGTTTTTCTTCCCTGGCACGTGGGTGCAGGTTACTGCAGCCGAAATGCACGGCCGCCTACTTTACCTCGACATCGGGTCTGCATTGGAAGGAGAAGACGGGAGTTCACTACGTCTACAGCTCATTTGAGCTACCCGGTACTAAGGTACTCTGTTTCCGTATCGAATCAGTCTGGATCCTGGTCTTGACCCTGCTGCAGAACCCGGAAGTCTAGAGTACCCTGGCACGGCCGTCCTTCCGCGTCTCGGGCTTTTCGCAGGTACGAAGCGGCATCTTTGTCTAGTTGCACTGTTGAGGCGTTGTCTCCGAGCCCTCGGGTGATTACTTTCTCTCCCCCTTTAAACAGGCCCAGATGTGATCCTAGCCGATCGGCAATGCTGACCGCGGAAGAGTTGATTTTCTTGTTGGGAGTCTGCTGCCGCTCGCCCGAAGCGGCAGACTGTGACTGGCAACAGATGCCCAGAATGGGACGGCTCGAATCACTTCGCACTATCTGCCGTAGACCTCCGTAAATCACGAAATATTCCGGCCTATTCTTGTCGCTTCCGTCCCACTCCCCTCCCCTCCTCGTCGAGACTGGCCGGAAGAACGATGAAAGCATAAGGTGTCGGTCACCCGTTGAAAAGGTTTTCAGCTTATTATCCGACGCCGGTAGTGTACCCCGCACATCACTGTGTCTACGTACAGGGAGGGAGGGAAAGTCCAGGTGTTGCGGATTTCAGGCGTCCGCAACCTGCAACTTGAGCTCCGGGCCGATGTTTATCGGCATCCCGAAGATCAAAAGCATATTGCCGGTCCGGTGTGGAGTTGCCTGGCACTTTCCACACACTCATCATCTCCGGAGTCTATACTAAGTCGGCATTAGGGTATCGATCTCAAGCAATGGTCTAGAAATCACAATCCAGCACTCAATTCCAGCATTGGTAAAACGAAGCGGGGCCGGCCGCTCATCAACTGCAAGGCCTATATCATGCTTCGCTATCTTGTTTCCCGTCTTCCGCGTGGTCTGAACTTCATGGCCAGTGGCTAGGGGCCGGCATCCGTCACGGCGTCCAAATAGATGTTCCTCAGTTACCTCAAACCATTCGCTGCTGGCCCAAGTCACATATCACACCCTGTCGCAGACAAGCTGCCCTCCTGCATGTAGGTCAACCAGCTACCCATTTCCGACCTTCTTCCGCAGGGTGTTGTGTGATGGATGAAGCGTGTACTGTCGGCTTGCCGGTGTGCGGCACAGGTGGATATGCTCTGCCTACGACAGGGAGGTATCCGGAGTATCTGGACGTGACCGGGGACCGAACTGTGTTCTCCCACGGCCACGGCCATGCCCCTTACCCCACCAGAGTGGGAGCCCCCTGTTCCGCATCCCGCCATCTTGGTCTCGACCATGGCGCACATCGCCAACGTGCTCTCTGCGCTGCGGCACGATTAACAGGGTGGGCTACGGTGTCGGAGGCTAACTGCGCAGCAGTGGTCGAGGTACACTCGTGTCTTCTTGTGTTGTCGAATATACTGCCCCAGGGTCAAGGCCTCGGATATGCATGTCGTCCACCCGTCGATCCCGGCAACGATACCGGTGCCCTTGACCATAAAAGGGAGCGATGCCCGTCGGCAGCACTAGGAACTGGTAGCTGTCCAAAGTTCACTTCACACAACCGACTCCACTTCACCACTGCCGATAACATAGGATCGGTTGGTTTGAGATTGGTTCAAAATCCGCCATCTTCAGACTTGGATCTGCAGGTTAGCTAGCCTGCGCCACCTTCTAGACTGCTATTCGGTATGGTTCTCAAACCCCTGGACTCCGTCGAGTTCACGGACGCGAGCAAGTCAGCCGTGCTTCACCGTGATCTCAAGAGCTATTTCATCCGCACCGTAGGCGGCGAAGGCAACTGTTACGTTGTCGAGGGCGGTAGGAGGATATTCGACGCATCCGGAGGCGCCGCTGTGGCATGTCTCGGCCATGGAGACGAACGAGTGAAGGAGGCCATGATTCGGCAGCTCAGCAGTGTCGCTTACAGTCCTTCAACCTTCTTCACAACACCAGTATGCGAGCAGTTATGTCAATTTCTTGTCAACAGTACCGATGGTCATATGTCAAGAGCCTACCTGGTCAGTAGCGGTACGCATAAATGAACTTTGGTAATATTCAACTATGGAGGCTGTCTAGGCTCACAAAACCCAGGTTCTGAGGCTATGGAGGCTGCGATGAAACTTTGTCGGCAGTACTTCTTAGAAAAGAAGCCAGCAGAGTCAAAGAGGCATCTCTTCGTCGCCCGCCAAAGTTCATATCATGGGACAACACTGGGCGCATTGTCCATGGGGGGCCATGTTGCCAGGCGAGCCAACTTCAAGCCCATGCTACTTGACAGCATCGTCTCACACGTGTCCCCATGCTACGCTTATAGGGGCAAAGGACCTGAGGAGACGGATGAGGATTACGTGGCAAAACTCGCCAAGGAACTTGAGGATGAGTTCATCCGGCTGGGACCTGAGAAAGTGTGTGCCTTCGTAGCGGAACCAGTCGTTGGGGCAGTAAGTAAAGAACGCGACAGCTTTTCCCTTACGCGTACTGACGACCAGCAGGCTCTGGGGTGTGTTCCTGCGGTGACCGGCTACTTCAAGGCCATGAAATCTGTTTGCGATCGATATGGCGCCCTGCTCATAATGGACGAGGTCATGAGCGGCATGGGTCGCTGCGGAACACTTCACGCGTGGGAGGCTGAAGGAGTCGCGCCGGACATCCAAACCATCGGGAAAGGCTTGGCCGGAGGTTATCAGCCAATCGCCGGGGTACTTGTTAACAAGAGAGTCGTCGATGTGCTGGAAAGCGGAACCAGGTAAGTCGGCGTCTTATCATGGTGCAGACTACCTTGGACGGCATTATCTAACAAGAGCAGTGCTTTCGTCCATGGCCACACATATCAAGGGCACCCGGTTGCTTGTGCAGCGGCCCTCGAGGTTCAACAGATTATCAAATCGGACGGACTGATTGCCAATGTGCAGAGCATGGGCCAGCTCCTTTCCCGTCTTTTGAAGGAGAGTCTCAGTGGCCATCCTTACGTTGGGGACATCCGCGGGAAAGGACTCTTCTGGGGCATAGAGTTCGTCCGCAACAAGGAGACCAAGGAGCCCTGGCCCACCCAGACGCACGTTGCAGCGTCCATCAACGAATTGGGCTTGACAGACGCTTACGGCATCGTGGTCTATCCTGGATCTGGAACGGCGGACGGTATGGCGGGTGATCACATCATCGTGGCTCCACCGTATACGGTGACAAGAGACGAAGTTATCTTCGTAGCCGAGACGGTTATCAGACTCATCAACGACTTCTTTGCCAAACTGTCATAGCGAAGGACCAGGAAACCGGAAGAAAGGCGTTCCTTGGTCTGCAAATAATTGCCGGTAGTCCCCGGTAGTCCTAGTGCCATCAAATCAAACAAATTGCCTGATCTTGTGATTCTCCTTGAAGCTCAAATGGACGTGCATTACAGCACATTCTGATGATTGAGACGTTTTGGGGGTCAAAGCCAAAACAAATCCGAGTATGTGTGAAATGAGAATGTTCCGGCCGGTCCTTCGTAATGACTTGTGTAATTGGCTACTTCAGGTTGGGATGAGTTAAGTTCCGGGGACTAGGTTTGACAGAATCGTCTGAAAATACAGGATTTGAAGATGAAAGAGACTGGCAGAGTTTCAAGTCGCCTTCTCACATCTCTTTCGCCCGCTGTCTAGCTCACAATATTAGCAATATTTGACCTCGACTCTGACACATACGACCATACCCATTGGAAAACTCGGGATCCCGTCCGCTCTCCCATAGATAAGCCAATGAGGGCTGGCCCATCTAGAAGAGCGGGATCCCCTGATGACTCAGCATGAGAAACTGTGCCTGGCTGTGCCCCACCCTGGCGCAGCCGTATTGTCCGTAACTAGTCTCAGTCCTTTGACTGGCTGCTCCTCCCAGACTGTGGTCACGTGACCGTACAAATATCTTAATGGGGTTTGTGGGGATTAGTATCATCATCCGGCTGTTTGCCTCCCCCGCTAAAGTACTCTCTCTACCGCAACACAACATTCAACACATGCTACACACCAAAAGCTGCACGCAGCACACTGCACACTGCACACCGCTGCTTGGGAGCACGCCTGCCTACTATCAACTCAAAAACAGTAAGTTATACTGGTCTTTCGTTTTTTCTTTGACAGCGGAACAAGGATTTGTTTTCTTGCCTGCACTCATTGCACTCTATTCTCATTCAATTTGCGTTTTAGTGTTGCTAATCTAGTCTTTGTGACGTGACAACAGGTTTTGCCCTTGCCGTTCTGCACTCTCACACACACCCAACGCGCCCATAATGACGATGGCCATCACGGCCGAGTCTCCTTCGCAAGCTGATATGCACATGGACACAGACACAGGCATGGAGACGGAGACAGAGACAGAGACAGCAACAGCAACGACGATTCTTGCCTGCTTGGACTTTGCCGTCCAACTCTTCCGTCGCAACAACAAGCCAATTTCTCATCAGAATAATGGGCTTGTGTCTGCAGAAAACAACAATGACGACAATAACAAATTTCGACTCGAGCCCTCCGCCTTCTGTTCCCTTCTCCAACACCTCGAGACTGATCCTCGCGTATCTCTTGAGCATTTCAATGTCGAGTACGACCCCGAGACGCGCCTTGCATGCTTCAGGATGACCCAGGGCCGTCTCCACGCCTTCGTCACCCAGAAATTCGGCAAGCTCGTCTCGGACGCCGCCAGAACCACTTTCCCTCATGTTGACCAACTTTTCGAGTGGCCATCCGACTTCTTTCCCCCGCCCTCTGAGTCAAACTCCCTCGACAACGGCTCAGAGTCACCAGGCTCCCTCCCCGACCCTCTAAGGTACATCCCTGATGTCTCCTAGTACGCAGACCCAGCAGACGGTAGCTACCTTCCGCGTGTGGTCGCTGAGATCGCCTACTCGAGCCCGTCGACCTTGGAGGAGCTTGATGCCAAATGCGCCCGATACATCTCGTACACTCATGGCAAAGTTCGCGCCGCAATTGCAGTCAAGATCCCCTACGACCGCCAGAACCCGCGTGACATCGCCGGCATCAGACTCGATGATTGTCTCGTTGCCGTCTGGGCCTGGGACGTGAAGAACGGAAAGGTCAAGTGTGTGATGAGCTGGGCGAGCGTCACTCGACCTAACGCCAACATCACCCTGCGCCCGTGGCACTTTTCGGATCCCGTCAGCAACAAGCGACAGGAGAATAGACGCGGTAGAAGGGGAGGCAGGAGAGCCGCAACGTACGTCATGAAATATTTGTTCAACCACTCAATTCCCCATCCCATCCCATCCTGTTACTCGTTTGCATCTGTGGCTAACCGGTTCCCCTCACTAGATTGGGTCGTTCCAGAGCCAGCGACATTCGTGTCCCCTTTACCGAAATCAGAGAAATCCTCCGCACATCCATTGAGTTTGCCTCCCGAGGCGCCTGATTTTGATGGATACTATGTTTGTTTGAGTTGGAAGGCAAGTGAAAATGCAAGCTAATGGCAATGGAACACATCCGCAACGGACACGCGGAAGTCTGGTCAGTGGCACTGAAGCACAACCCAAGACGGAAGACATATGCCGTACTTGGCTTCTAGGGAGTGTCAGCTTGCGTCCGATACGAAAACAATCAAGCTATCAGCTATCCCATAGTCCTTATTTACACAACTGTGGGCGTCCGAGAAGCAGCAGGCATGAAAAGCAGTGTGCATGGAACGGTCAAGCATAAGAAGGCTTAGTAATTGTCACTGAACAACACAGAGGCACTTACCTTATGTGTAGCATTAAGAGATGAGTTATGCTACTAGGTATTGATTAAGTAAGGACTACACAGTAGATGGTAGCGGAAGCAGTTCAGTTCAGAAAGGGCGGAACAGCTAAAGAAACATTCGTAGTGCATCCACTACCGCCTCCCAACATCTACGTATGTTCAGCCAGCCCTCTTTCCTCCGCTTGTGCGACAGCGATACGCTAATCACAAAGTGACGCGCAAACTTGACGCGTCTTCCTTTCACTCACTTGTGAACGTGCAAAGCACCATCAGCCGTCGTGCCTCCATCACTGTCGTCGCCGCGCGGAACGCCAACACGTCCAGCAGAGAAGTGGCCTGTGGATGCATCTTTTCTCTCGGCCAGATCCGGGCTCCGCCTTTACCCTAGAGAGCGACTGCTTGTTCCTCCGCTTCACTGGAACGCCCGTCAGCTCGACCTCCTACGGTGCGCCTTCACGCCGATCCACAATGACCTCCCACCGCACCATGCAGAGGACTCCCTGTCTCTCTTTCTCTTGCTTCGTTGAGCCACGACTCCAGTCCCGATTCCGTTTCTATTATTCCGGCGGTGGCTGGAGAGTAGTATCGTAACACTAGCTCTCGGTCAATATACTCGAGCGATGGCATCCGCTATCCAAAACATCCTCCGCTTAACTTATCCGTCCTTCATCCGGAAGATCGACCGCCTCGCCTTTGGCTTCGACCAACATCAAATCCCCATGCCTTGCAGCCTCTTCCGCGGCATTCCAGCGGCTACCGCTCCCGCTCCTGCTCCCGTATTCCTTTACGTCGACCTTGGCGACATTCGCAAGGCTCGCTAGGCGTCACTCGAGCACATCTGTTGTCCATTTCAGAGTCAACGCACCAACAGGGCCACATCATCACTCTACACCAAGCGTCTTGCCGATATCACGCCTGCGGACCCTACTTGAGACCCCTACGTTGCCGGCCTGCTCATCGCAATCGCCCAATCCCAGCACCGGCGTCTAGCCGATGATGCTCCCTCACTGGACAGTCTCAAAGTAAGTGTCTGAATACCGAGGTTCCCTTTAGAGCTCGCCCTGTCTGATCTTTTGCCGAGCAGGTCCACGTTCTCATGAGCGATGCCAAGAGCAAGTCTCACATCAGTACTCAGCAGCTATCCCTACAGCAAACCTCGACAAGCTTGCTCATCTCCAGCAGCCACCTCCCGCCGCCTCGCGTTTTAGCATCGGAACTACACAAATTTCCTACCGGCCGTACTCATCTTTTCATTCGCGATTGCTGCAGAAAATATGCCCGTGAGTCGAGATTCAGACGACTCAGACGATTCCAATGAATTGAAGAGGGCAAGTAGAAAGCTCGCATGATGATGATCACGATGGGCGTCAGACGTTGGACGGTTGGGGGTGTGACATCAGTTTACGGTGGAATGGTTCAGATAAACTGGATGGCGTTGTTGGCGGCATACGTACCTTGGTTTCGGGAGAGCGTTCGAATTGCAGCCATCGGCGCGCAGTGTATGATGTCCCTACTTTTTGTTTGTTCTGCTACAATCGACTTGGTGGCCTGTGCTTAGACCTGACTTTGGTGTTCTTTTCATCAATATCGTGATGCCTTGAAGCATTGTGGTCCACTTCGCGGCACGTGACGTGGTCATATGTGTTACAGCACAACAGTGGCTACAGGGGGGAGTTATCCAAGGGGAAAGGTGTATTTGTCCAAGACGCTGGCTACATGGGCCTGCATTGCCTTTATATAGCTAGTTGTATCTATCCGGATGCGTACGCATGCATGTGACACTGCCGTTTGCATCTAAACGACCCCTTCTATGACGCTATTGTTATAATATAAACTTATAGAACCTATTACGGTTATAGGTAGGCAGGAGGTAGATACTAGGCAGGTAGGAGGTTATATATTTAGTTCTAGCTATAATATAGGCCTTATCCTTAATAGGTATAAGCTTTATTAATAAGATATAGCTTAAAGAGCTATAATTTAAGATATTAAATAGATTATAAGTTTTATTAGAATACGCCTTATATAACTAGCGCTAGTATTGCTTAGGTGGAATAGGGCATATCCACGCTAGGCTGTGACAGTACTCCCCTCTCTAGGACTGAGTTCCAGAGAGGTCGTCTAGGGTCCAGCCTTATGCAGGTATTAGCGGTGAAAGTTGCATACAATTTCTTGCGCATTCTTTATGTGTGAAGCAGGCACCTCTTTAGGTTCGTCATAACCATTCTATTTAACAGTATATTTCAGGCGGGGGCGGCCGCAGCCGCAGCGGTCCCAACGGGAATCCAGGATATCTTCAACCTCCCATTCCTCAAGGCCATTAACCTCAACCGGAGGCAGGGGTTTGTTGCGTTGGGCGGGTAGCGGGTCATCAGCAGCGGGACTGAGCAGGCTGACGTGGAAAACGGGATGAATCCTTATAGATTCCGGTAGCGACAGACGGTAAGCCCATGGGTTAATGATCTTTTCAATGGTGAACGGGCCGCAGTTCTTCCAGTCTAGCTTCCTAGTGGGGCGCAGGGTCTTGATGTTGCGGGCGTCGAGCCAGACCTTCTGGCCGACCTGGTAGCGGCGGGCTGGGCGTCGTGTCTTGTTGGCTTGCTCCTCGTAGCGGGTACGAGCGACCAGCATCTCGCTTCATAAGTGGTCGTGAATAGTTTGCATCTGGGACGCAAACTTCTCAGCGTCACAAGCAGCTGGCTTGTCAGGGGGCAGGACAGGTTCGAAGCCTAATCTAGGGTGGAATCCGTAGTTGGCGAAGAACGGGGTGACTCCAGTGGTCTCGGAAACAGCGTCGTTAGCGGCGAACTCAGCAAGTGGGAGCCAGTCTGCCCAGTCGTCCTGCAGGTACGCCACGTACAGGCGTAGATACTGTTCCAGGGTGGCGTTCATGCGTTCGGTTTGTCCATCAGTTTGCAGGTGGTAGGCAGTTAATAGGGCGGCAGTAATCCGCAGGCGGTGGGTAAGATGTTTCCAGAAAGCAGATACAAATTGTGGTCCTCAATCAGAGACTATAGTGCTCAGCAAACCGTGTAGCTTCCAGACGTCTCTCAGAAACAGGCGTGCAGCTTCTTCAGCATCACAGGTCCCCTTACAGGGTATAAAGTGTCTCATCTTCATAAGACGGTCAACTATAACCATTATTGCGTCATAAGTCCAGCTGCTAGGCAGGTGTGTGATGAAGTCCACAGATATATCTTTCTATAACCGTTTGGGAACGGGAAGCGGTTTCAATAGGCCTTGCTGCGCGTTGCGGCGAGGCTTCACTCGCCAGCACGGGTGACAGTTCCTAATCCATTGCTTGATATAGCTTAACATTCCAGGCCAGTAGTATTCGCAGTCTAGGATCTCATACGTCCAAGCAATCCCAGGGTGTCCTGCGTGCGGGACGGTGTGACAGTATTCCAGGAGTTCCGCTTTCAGCTCGGCTAGGTCAGGGACGTATAGACGTTTTCCATAATATAGGTAGCCATTACGTTCTTCACACTCAGCCAGGGTCAGAACAGGATAGTGAGCTGCGTTCTCACTTAACGCTTTCAGGGCAGAACGGGGTAACGGATCCTCAGCATATCCAGTATCAAACAGTGCAGACAGTTCCTCAGTCCAAACAGGGCGGGCAGTCTCAATAGTACAGCAGGTCAGGGTTTAGAAGCAGACCATCTTCTTTAGTTGTTCTAGTCTCAGCTGTGCAGATTGGGTCTTAGACAATAGGGTCTCAAAGTTCTCTTTCTTTAAGACAACTTAGCTCTAGTGCAGGAGACGTTCATCCCCTTCTTAAGGCAGGTCCTCTGACCTCCTGGTTAGGGTGTTAGGTTTAACACCTTATTTCCTAGGGCAGTATACAATCTTAAAGTTAAAGCGGAATAGAAACTCAGCCCATTAGGCTTAATAGCAATTTAGCAACTTAGTTATAGTAAAATACTCTAAGTTCTTATAGTCTATAATAACTTTAATTAGTAAGGGCGCTCCCTCTAGTTCTAGGCGCTATTCCTTAAAGCAGTGGATAATAGCTAGTAGTTCCTTATTATAGATCTTATAATTGCATTTAGTTATTAAGTGCTTCTTTAAGAAGAAGGCAATAGGTCTTAAGATCCTATTATTATTATATTAGGATATTACCCTAGTAGATATAAAGTCTAAGGCGTTAGTTTCCATAATAACGTCCTTATCCTAATTAAATAATATAAGCATAGGCGTATTTATAAACGCAATTTTTAGTATATTAAACGCTTCTTTATAGGAGGCATTAAAATTAAAGGGTATATTCTTTATTATTAGGTAGACTAGCAGTATAATTATTCCTAAGAAGTTATAGATAAACTAGCAGTAGAAATTTATAAAGCCTATAAAGGCTTATATATTAGTTAAATAAGTTAGTTCCTTCTAGTTTATAATTATCTTAATCTTCTTTAGATCTATTTAGATCCTATAAGCGCCTATAATAAGGCCTAGGAAAGTAGTCTCTTCTATAAAGAACTTATATTTCTCTAGCTTAGCATATAAGCCTACTGTTACGACCCGTTAGGCATAACCAATGAAGGACGCCCCACTAGGATACTGGGCGGTTATGACAACACATTTATATATAGGATCACGGGAATACGTAAGGATCCCTTAGGAACGGAAGAACTATGGTATAGGTCACGTGACGATAAGATAAGAGATTAGATCCGTATGATCAAGATACGGCATCTGTGTTCCAGAAAGACGGAAGCCGTATGCCAAGGAGACGGAAGCCGTATGCTAAGGATACGGGAGCCGTACAGGGCATGTACGGCACCCAGCAATAGGACTACCCAGGACCTATATATAGGATGGACTTGAGTCCGCTTGAGGACAAACTTCTATAGCTCTTTAGCAATTAACTTATAATTATTACTCATAATACTTTTAGCTATACCTAAGTAACAATTACTCTATAACTCTTATTAAGGCCTTAACTAATTACTAAGACCTTTAAAGACCTATAATTACTTAACTAGACCTATAAAACAACTAATTACTATTTATAGTTCTTAATCCCTAACTTACTACTAATATAAACCTACTATTAGTTAGCTAGCTATAACACTTTAATTGCTCCTATTTAGTAAGTTACCCTTTAAAAACTACTAATAGTATTATAATGTCTTTATAACTCTCTAGAAAGACCCCTAGTATGGGATCCTCCTCTGGCGCTGGGAAGGCCCCCGTTAAGAAGAACCTTGCTCAAGAACTTAGGGATTAGAGAATAAAAGACGATAGCAATAGTGATAACGATGATGCGCTCAAGGAACAGCTTGAATGAGCTAACTACAACATCTAATAGATATAGGAAATATTTAACGCTAACGCCCACGCTACTGAAGAACTTTAGGCCGCTATACGCCTATCTAACTAGCACACCTAGGAACTTGAATAGTAGAACTACACTCTTTAAGCTACTACTAATATTATTACTACCCCTATTATAGAAGGATGAGAGAAGCTTTAACTTAACTCTCTTAATCCTTTTAATAGATCCCTAGGACAGCTTAAGGGATTCCTTATCTAAGTTAAGAACTACTAGAATTTCTATTATAGTAACTTTAAGAATAGAACTAAGAAGGTTATCTATACATCTACCTTCCTTAAGGGATAAGCCCTCTAGTGGTTTAAACCCTTCCTTAAAGAGTACCTCAATAAGGAAACACTCAACCACTATTCTACTAAAGTCAGAGATATTTTCAGTAGCTTCTAGGGCTTTAAGTCCGCCCTGAAGTCTCTATTCTAAGACCCTAATGAGAAACGATAAGCTAAATGAGACTTACTTCGCCTTAAATAGACTAAGTCAGCCAAGGACTACGCCATAGAGTTCTAATGGATCTACGCCCAGCTGGACTTAACTAATAAAGGTAAGATCTTTATATTCTATAACAACCTTAAGGATAAAGTTAAGGATAAAATTATTAAAGTTAATAGACCTAAGGACTTCCTCTAGTATACTAAGCTCGCTATTAAGATTAATAACTAACTATATAAGCAATATAAGGAGAAAGGCAAATGATAATAACCTGCCAACTCCAGCCGTAAGTACTAGTAGCAGCCTAGATACCACAATAATAATTAACGTAACGAATGCAATAGCACCGCCTATGGACACCATAGCGGACCTATGGATCTCAGCGCGGCCCAGCGTAATGACAATAATAAGGGTAATAGCTAGAAGAAGAACATTAAGTGCTATAACTGCAATAAGAATGGACACCTTATAAAAGAATATAGAGCACCTAAGAAAGAACGCTTCTAGCTAGTACCTAAGAAAAGATAAGTTAGTACTACTACTAAGGTAATCCCTTATAAATAACTTAGTTAGACTACCTGCTTTAACAATAACTATGGAGTTCACTTAGACTCTAAGGAACATACAGGATAGTACCCCAAGAACCCCAGTAGAATGGGATATAATACTACTAGAGTAAAGAACATTAGTAGACCCCCAAATTAATAAACTATTACTATAGGATATAGAAGCAATAGCAAACTTAAGCGTAAGGCTTAAGAATAACTTGATAGCCTCCTAGAATATAGGGCCCTTAAAGAAAATAGATAGTTTAAGACGTCTAAATATATTAGCCTTAAATAAGAACTAACCTATAACTTAGATAAGCCTCGCGACGTTATACGATAACGTGCTCAGATAGTAGCTATCTATAGGCGCAAACCCAGCATTAATGACACTAGCTCTAAAGAGGACTCTAACAATGAAACCACCAGGGCTAGCAAACGCCTTTGGTACTAGAAAATCAATCCCATGAAGGACAAACAGATACTTGAATTCTTTAGCACCTTAGGAGAATAGCGTAATAGAAACTATAAACTAGAGTTTGGGCTAGATAACTACCTATATTTATATATAGAAAGCAACTACTACTGATACCTCTACTAGCTATAGTGCTTCTTTAATAACTATAAGGAATATCTTAGAGATAAGTATATATATTAATTCTACCCTAGAAGGTATAACTAAGAACCTATTAAGAAGGTCTATTAAATTAACTAAATATATAGATGGGAACTTAAGCTATTTAATGGATAAATTGCAACCTTTGGACTAAGCTAAGAATACCCTATGAGATGCCTCCACAACACCAATATGAGCTAGTAAGATTGCTAATAAGATAAATATATAATCTATAGAGAAAATAAAGCCAAAGTATAGCAACTTAGCTAGAATAGAGCAACCCCCCCTATAGTAAAGTATAAGGAGAGCTGGCTCTAGAAAGCATAATGCAAAGGGAAATAGATCACCTACTATAGAGATAACCAGTCAAAAAACTAGGATCACCTACCAAAACCAAGGGATAACAACAGGCAGATAAGACAAGGTCCCTATATAGTGCAACTAGGGCATACCCAGCTCAACAATACAAGTATATCCAAGTTCAGATATAACTTAATAGAAGACCAGCTACCACAATGATAGACAGCAGAGCCTAAGGAAACTTCATATCGCCACAAATAGTGAATAAATGAAAAATAACCTAGAAGAAGAAAGCAGCAGAAGACTGCTATAAACTCAGTACTATTAAAGGAGAATAAGTCTAGTATGGTGGAGGACGTATTACAGCGGAGACAGCGCACCTCCCTATGCAGATCCATAGCCAGAATGAGTAACTAAACTTCAATATTATAGAGATAGGAGATAAGTATAATGTCATCCTTAGAAGACCATAGTTATACAATAGCAACCTACAGATAGATTAGAGAACTAGCTAACTCCATTGGGACCAGGATTTAGTCACTAAGCAGTAGCCCAGAAGAGGTGCCTTAAATAAACCTTCTAGAACTCCTAAAGCGAAGAGATTTTTAGTATACCTACAAATTAAGGATATAAACGCTAGGACGTTATTAGTAATAGATATTAATAAGGA